GTCATGTTTGCCCATTCCTTTAAATAAAATAAATACACATGAATATTAAATCTTAATTTATCTTAATGCGTATAAAAATTAAAATCAATTCAAATTTTCATTTACTACCTTTAGCAACAAGACTGATACTGTAGTCATTAGCAGAATATTCTACAGTTCTACTGCAATGCGAATATGCATACGAAGATAGAAGACTTCCTGAGAAAGGTATATAACCATGTTTTTTATATTCAGATAAAAATAATCGACCCTCTAATAATCCACGTGAACCAGGATCTATTTCGGCGTCTTTTAATAAAGCTTCGTAAGCAAGATCCCAATCTATTATATCGGTGCCCAATTTTTTTAAATAAGTTTCAGCCTATTTGAATCATAATATAATAATAAATCAATTAAGATATACGATTTAGAAAGAAGAAATTAAAGTTGATGACGATTTAAGTCTTACCACAACCATATCAGCATTAGAACCCCCTTGTGTAACCCCATTGTATAATCCACTTCTTCCATCGGGCATATATTCATCATTTTTATATATATCAATTAATGATCTAACAATATCTACAGCTCGTTCCTGTTGAAAAAGCATGAATAATGGGTTCGTCGTTCTATATTTACATTATGAAATACTTTGTTATGTTAAGAAGCACTTTATTATTATGTTGAGATATTAATACATTATAAAACTTACCTAAATGTGTCCCACTATTAATTATTTTTAGTTAGAATTATATGTTATTTTGTCTCTAGAACTTATTGGAATTTATAAAAGAAATAACGTACTAAAGTGTAAAAATCTCCATAGTGTGGTACTAATTTACCATCTTTATCGTATGTTTCCCAGTTTGGGTTCTCACCAGTTCTACAATCACAGTAATCAAATTGTTATATAAAGAAGCATATAGTCAATAACAATAATAAATAATAAACAATAGATACCTATTACTAGGAATTATCATGGTTCTGTATAAACTACTATAAAAAATAGTGGTTAACTCATCAGTTCCTCCTTCAACTTGTATCTTTCCTAACTCTGTTTGCCAAGCCTTTACAGCTTCGTGTCTAGTCTTTTCAAAATCCCAGTCCGGTATTTCACTTTCAACACTATTACATGCTTGATCAGCTGAAATAAATGAAATTCCGACTCTTGATATGATTACCGGATTTTCGATAACATTAAACGTTAAAGTAGCACCATCAGCCTTATTAGTAAACTCATTTGTTTCACCAAAGTATCCATAAGAATATCTACCCTCCCAGTCCGTAAATTCAGTGGCGTTGGTGTTAAATTGTGAACAGAAGTAGACAGTATAAACACCACCTCTATTCCAACCGCCACTATAACGAGCTGCACCTTTTACTTGGTTAGCTGAGATAGATTGGATAGTTCCTTCATGATACCGATGAGTGAAGCTAAACGAATACGTTAATTAATATTATTAACAATTAGACAATTAGGTATGCATTTTATAAAATTACAGGACATACCCATAGTGATGTACAACAAGATTATGAGGTAAATCAATAATAACTTTAGCTTTATTTTCGGTTGGAGGAAAAGTATATCGATGAAGACCTGCTCTCCGACTAGCCGTTAATTCGACTGTAATATTATAACGTTCTAATCCAAATTTTGAATAACCAACTTCAAAATACTCAAAAGAACGTTCTGAGCTAAGATGGGTTACATCAAGTGGATCTTCAGGTGAATCTATCGCGGGGAATTGACTTATTACACCATATTTTGGTTCACCTGTATTCATTTAATCAGTGTATGAGTAAAAATGAT